ATGGCAGCGGAACGCGAGCGCACAGGGCCACAGTGTCTGAGGATGGACGTTGGCGCAGAGCAGGCAGAGACCAGCTGACTACATAGGTGGTTTTTATAGTACGTTATTTTGGCCTCCCTCTCAGCAGGTGTGAAAAAAGGCCACCATTTTTGAACGGTAGCGAGGGTCCAACAAGGTGGACAGCCAAAAGTCATCCCCTCTGTCTGATGGTTATTATTCGGAGGCCTGTCGCTACCAAGCAACCGAGCAAGCGCCACGCAGCCAAGAACGAGCATGCTATGGGCCATTTTGTGCCAAGGAATGCGAGGGACTCCATCCCTCCTGGACCCTGCCCATCTCCACAGCATACTGCCACGGTGCGTCTGGGTCCTCTCTCCTCCTCCTCCTCCTCCTACCCAGATGCTCCTGCTCCTCCACTCCTGTCCGCTGAGTGGAAAAAAACCACCCATTTCACTCAATAATTCCTGAGCACCAATGTCCTCCTCTACCTCCTCCTCTTCTTCCTGTCCTGCCCCCACAGGGGTCATGTGGCGTTTGAGATCTGTGCGCCACGTCTACCGCACCCTGACCAGCCATTGTTAACAGCATTTGTTCCAGGACGTGCAACAGAGGAATGACGTCGTTCATCCCATAGTCCTGCCGACTCACGAATAGCGTGGCCTCCTCAAAGGGCCTGAGCAAGCGCAGGTGTCACGCATGAGCTGCCAATGGCTGACATCTAAGTTACACAGGGAGTACCTTTATCCGCTTTTAACATCAGGAAATCTGTGATGGCCTTTCGCTGTTCGTAAAGGCGGTCTAACATATGTAGGGTTGAATTCCACCTTGTTGCAACGTCACAGCATGAGGAGTCGGTACGGGGGCCCATGGCAGATTACGTGGGGCCTGGCAGCAGCAATGGGAGGCCCGTAATCTGCCAGCACCCTATGTCAAAAAATTCAACACACCAGCAGTGTGAGGAGACCTGAAAGTGGCACATGGCAGAGTGTGGCGATGGAGACAGCAGCAATGGGAGGCCGTACAGGGACCCATGAGAGACTCTGGACCTGGCAGCAGCATGAGGAGGCGGTATATAGGGGCCCATGGCAGATTAGGGGCCTGGCAGCAGCTATAGGAGGCCCATAATCTGCCAGCACCCTATGTCAAAAAATTCAACACACCAGCAGTGTGAGGAGACCTGAAAGTGGCACATGGCATGAGACACTGTGGACCTGGCAGCAGCATGAGGAGGCGGTATATAGGGGCCCATGGCAGATTAGGGGCCTGGCAGCAGCTATGGGAGGCCCGTAATCTGCCAGCACCCTATGTCAAAAAAATTCTACACACCAGCAGTGTGTGAGGAGACCTGAAAGTGGCACATGGCAGAGTGTGGCGATGGAGACAGCAGCAATGGGAGGCCGTACAGGGACCCATGAGAGACTCTGGACCTGGCAGCAGCATGAGGAGGCGGTATATAGGGGCCTATGGCAGATTAGGGGCCTGGCAGCAGCTATGGGAGGCCCGTAATCTGCCAGCACCCTATGTCAAAAAAATTCTACACACCCAGCAGTGTGTGAGGAGACCTGAAAGTGGCACATGGCAGAGTGTGTGCGATGGAGACAGCAGCAATGGGAGAGGCCGTACAGGGACCCATGAGAGACTCTGGACCTGGCAGCAGCATGAGGAGGCGGTATATAGGGGCCCATGGCAGATTAGGGGCCTGGCAGCAGCTATGAGGCCCGTAATCTGCCAGCACCCTATGTCAAAAAATTCTACACACCAGCAGTGTGTGAGGAGACCTGAAAGTGGCACATGGCAGAGTGTGGCGATGGAGACAGCAGCAATGGGAGGCCGTACAGGGACCCATGAGAGACTCTGGACCTGGCAGCAGCATGAGGAGGCGGTATATAGGGGCCTATGGCAGATTAGGGGCCTGGCAGCAGCTATGGGAGGCCCGTAATCTGCCAGCACCCTATGTCAAAAAATTCAACACACCAGCAGTGTGTGAGGAGACCTGAAAGTGGCACATGGCAGAGTGTGGCGATGGAGACAGCAGCAATGGGAGGCCGTACAGGGACCCATGAGAGACTCTGGACCTGGCAGCAGCATGAGGAGGCGGTATATAGGGGCCTATGGCAGATTAGGGGCCTGGCAGCAGCTATAGGAGGCCCGTAATCTGCCAGCACCCTATGTCAAAAAATTCTACACACCAGCAGTGTGTGAGGAGACCTGAAAGTGGCACATGGCAGAGTGTGGCGATGGAGACAGCAGCAATGGGAGGCCGTACAGGGACCCATGAGAGACTCTGGACCTGGCAGCAGCATGAGGAGGCGGTATATAGGGGCCTATGGCAGATTAGGGGCCTGGCAGCAGCTATAGGAGGCCCATAATCTGCCAGCACCCTATGTCAAAAAATTCTACACACCAGCAGTGTGTGAGGAGACCTGAAAGTGGCACATGGCAGAGTGTGGCGATGGAGACAGCAGCAATGGGAGGCCGTACAGGGACCCATGAGAGACTCTGGACCTGGCAGCAGCATGAGGAGGCGGTATATAGGGGCCCATGGCAGATTAGGGGCCTGGCAGCAGCTATGGGAGGCCCGTAATCTGCCAGCACCCTATGTCAAAAAATTCTACACACCAGCAGTGTGTGAGGAGACCTGAAAGTGGCACATGGCAGAGTGTGGCGATGGAGACAGCAGCAGCAATGGGAGGCCGTACAGGGACCCATGAGAGACTCTGGACCTGGCAGCAGCATGAGGAGGCGGTATATAGGGGCCCATGGCAGATTAGGGGCCTGGCAGCAGCTATGGGAGGCCCGTAATCTGCCAGCACCCTATGTCAAAAAATTCTACACACCAGCAGTGTGTGAGGAGACCTGAAAGTGGCACATGGCAGAGTGTGGCGATGGAGACAGCAGCAATGGGAGGCCGTACAGGGACCCATGAGAGACTCTGGACCTGGCAGCAGCATGAGGAGGCGGTATATAGGGGCCTATGGCAGATTAGGGGCCTGGCAGCAGCTATAGGAGGCCCGTAATCTGCCAGCACCCTATGTCAAAAAATTCAACACACCCAGCAGTGTGTGTGAGGAGACCTGAAAGTGGCACATGGCAGAGTGTGGCGATGGAGACAGCAGCAATGGGAGGCCGTACAGGGACCCATGAGAGACTCTGGACCTGGCAGCAGCATGCATGAGGAGGCGGTATATAGGGGCCTATGGCAGATTAGGGGCCTGGCAGCAGCTATGGGAGGCCCGTAATCTGCCAGCACCCTATGTCAAAAAATTCTACACACACCAGCAGTGTGAGGAGACCTGAAAGTGGCACATGGCAGAGTGTGGCGATGGAGACAGCAGCAATGGGAGGCCGTACAGGGACCCATGAGAGACTCTGGACCTGGCAGCAGCATGAGGAGGCGGTATATAGGGGCCTATGGCAGATTAGGGGCCTGGCAGCAGCTATGGAGGCCCGTAATCTGCCAGCACCCTATGTCAAAAAATTCTACACACCAGCAGTGTGAGGAGACCTGAAAGTGGCACATGGCAGAGTGTGGCGATGGAGACAGCAGCAATGGGAGGCCGTACAGGGACCCATGAGAGACTCTGTGGACCTGGCAGCAGCATGAGGAGGCGGTATATAGGGGCCTATGGCAGATTAGGGGCCTGGCAGCAGCTATGGGGGCCCCGTAATCTGCCAGCACCCTATGTCAAAAAATTCTACACACCAGCAGTGTGTGAGAGACCTGAAAGTGGCACATGGCAGAGTGTGGCGATGGAGAAGCAGCAATGGGAGGCCGTACAGGGACCCATGAGAGACTCTGGACCTGGCAGCAGCATGAGGAGGCGGTATATAGGGGCCTATGGCAGATTAGGGGCCTGGCAGCAGCTATAGGGAGGCCCGTAATCTGCCAGCACCCTATGTCAAAAAATTCTCAACACACCAGCAGTGTGTGAGGAGACCTGAAAGTGGCACATGGCAGAGTGTGGCGGCGATGGAGACAGCAGCAATGGGAGGCCGTGGACCCATGAGCTCTGGAGCAGCAGCATGAGGAGGCGGTATATAGGGGCCCATGGCAGATTAGGGGCCTGGCAGCAGCTATGGGAGGCCCGTAATCTGCCAGCACCCTATGTCAAAAAATTCTACACACACAGCAGTGTGTGAGGAGGAGACCTGAAAGTGGCACATGGCAGAGTGTGGCGATGGAGACAGCAGCAATGGGAGGCCGTACAGGGACCCATGAGAGAGACTCTGGACCTGGCAGGCAGCAGCATGAGGAGGCGGTATATAGGGGCCTATGGCAGATTAGGGGCCTGGCAGCAGCTGCTATGGAGGCCCGTAATCTGCCAGCACCCTATGTCAAAAAATTCTACACACCAGCAGTGTGTGAGGAGACCTGAAAGTGGCACATGGCAGAGTGTGGCGATGGAGACAGCAGCAATGGGAGGCCGTACAGGGACCCATGAGAGACTCTGGACCTGGCAGCAGCATGAGGAGGCGGTATAGGGGCCCATGGCAGATTAGGGGCCTGGCAGCAGCTATGGGAGGCCCGTAATCTGCCAGCACCCTATGTCAAAAAATTCTACACACACAGCAGTGTGTGAGGAGACCTGAAAGTGGCACATGGCAGAGTGTGGCGATGGAGACAGCAGCAATGGGAGGCCGTACAGGGACCCATGAGAGACTCTGGACCTGGCAGCAGCATGAGGAGGCGGTATATAGGGGGGCCTATGGCAGATTAGGGGCCTGGCAGCAGCTATGGGAGGCCCGTAATCTGCCAGCACCCTATGTCAAAAAATTCTACACACACCAGCAGTGTGAGACCTGAAAGTGGCACATGGCAGAGAGTGTGGCGATGGAGACAGCAGCAATGGGAGGCCGTACAGGGACCCATGAGAGACTCTGGACCTGGCAGCAGCATGAGGAGGCGGTATATAGGGGCCCATGGCATGGCAGATTAGGGGCCTGGCAGCAGCTATGGGAGGCCCGTAATCTGCCAGCACCCTATGTCAAAAAATTCTACACACCAGCAGTGTGTGAGGAGACCTGAAAGTGGCACATGGCAGAGTGTGGCGATGGAGACAGCAGCAATGGGAGGCCGTACAGGGACCCATGAGAGACTCTGGACCTGGCAGCAGCATGCATGAGGAGGCGGTATATAGGGGCCCATGGCAGATTAGGGGCCTGGCAGCAGCTATGGGAGGCCCGTAATCTGCCAGCACCCTATGTCAAAAAATTCTACACACACCAGCAGTGTGTGAGGAGACCTGAAAGTGGCACATGGCAGAGTGTGGCGATGGAGACAGCAGCAATGGGAGGCCGTACAGGGACCCATGAGAGACTCTGGACCTGGCAGCAGCATGAGGAGGCGGTATATTAGGGGCCTATGGCAGATTAGGGGCCTGGCAGCAGCTATATGGAGGCCCGTAATCTGCCAGCACCCTATGTCAAAAAAATTCTACACACCACCAGCAGTGTGAGGAGACCTGAAAGTGGCACATGGCAGAGTGTGGCGATGGAGACAGCAGCAATGGGAGGCCGTACAGGGACCCATGAGAGACTCTGGACTCTGGACCTGGCAGCAGCATGAGGAGGCGGTATATAGGGGCCTATGGCAGATTAGGGGCCTGGCAGGCAGCAGCTATGGGAGGCCCGTAATCTGCCAGCACCCTATGTCAAAAAATTCTACACACCAGCAGTGTGTGAGGAGACCTGAAAGTGGCACATGGCAGAGTGTGGCGATGGAGACAGCAGCAATGGGAGGCCGTACAGGGACCCATGAGAGACTCTGGACCTGGCAGCAGCATGAGGAGGCGGTATATAGGGGCCTATGGCAGATTAGGGGGGCCTGGCAGCAGCTAATGGGAGGCCCGTAATCTGCCAGCACCCTATGTCAAAAAATTCTACACACCAGCAGTGTGTGAGGAGACCTGAAAGTGGCACATGGCAGAGTGTGGCGATGGAGACAGCAGCAATGGGAGGCCGTACAGGGACCCATGAGAGACTCTGGACCTGGCAGCAGCATGAGGAGGCGGTATATAGGGGCCTATGGCAGATTAGGGGCCTGGCAGCAGCTATAGGAGGCCCGTAATCTGCCAGCACCCTATGTCAAAAAATTCTACACACCAGCAGTGTGAGGAGACCTGAAAGTGGCACATGGCAGAGTGTGGCGATGGAGACAGCAGCAATGGGAGGCCGTACAGGGACCCATGAGAGACTCTGGACCTGGCAGCAGCATGAGGAGGCGGTATATAGGGGCCTATGGCAGATTAGGGGCCTGGCAGCAGCTATGGGAGGCCCGTAATCTGCCAGCACCCTATGTCAAAAAATTCTACACACCAGCAGTGTGTGAGACCCAAAGTGGCACATGTTTGAGGCATGATTCATGGCGGATTTAGTCAGTTGTGTCAGGAACTGGTGGTTTGAAATCCAGACTAATCCACGCCTGATTCATTTTCACAAACGTGAGTCTCTCCACACTTTGGGTGGACAGTCGTGTCCTCCGCGGAGTTACAATACCTCCTGCCGCACTAAACACGCGCTCCGATGCCACGCTACTGGCCGGGCATGACAGCCTTTCAAGGGCAAATTCAGCTAGTTGGGGCCAAAGGTCAAGTTTCGTTGACCAGTAGTCAAGGGGATTGTCTACCTCGGTTGGCAGGGTGCTGTCCAAGTAGGCCCAAGCCTGTTGTTTGAGGTCCTGCTCCAGGTCCACCTGATGCTGCTGCTGCTGCTGCTGCGCGCTGGTTAGTAGTTTCCTCACAGCGCTGGTGAAGAAAGCTACTCATCATCGACTGCAGACTGAGGCAGCCGCTGCTGGTGGAGCTGCCACTGCTCCTACCACCCCACCCCCCTCCCCTCCCCTGCTGCCATGGCAGCGGAACGCGAGCGCACAGGGCCCACAGTGTCTGAGGATGGACGTTGGCGCACAAAGGCAGAGACCAACTGACTACATAGGTGGTTTTTTATAGTACGTTATTTTGGCCTCCCTCTCAGCAGGTGTGTGAAAAAGGCCACCATTTTTGAACGGTAGCGAGGGTCCAACAAGGTGGACAGCCAAAAGTCATCCCTCTGTCTGATGGTTATTATTCGGCTGTCGCTACGCAAGCAACCGAGCATGCTATGGGCCATTTGTGCCAAGGAATGCGAGGGACTCCCTGCCTCCATCTCCACAGCATACTGCCACGGTGCGTCTGGGTCCTCTGTCTCCTCCTCCTCCTCCTCTACCAGATGCTCCTGCTCCTCCACTCCTGTCCGCTGAGTGGAAAAACCACCCATTTCACTCAATAATTCCTGAGCACAAATGTCCTCTCTACCTCCTCCTCTTCTTCCTGTCCTGTCTGCCCCCACAGGGGTCATGTGGCGTTGAGATCTGTGCGCCACGTCTACCGCACCCTGACCAGCCATTGTTAACAGCATTTGTTCAAGACGTGCAACAGAGGAATGACGTCGTTCAGACCCATAGTCCCGTGCCGACTCACGAATAGCGTGGCCTCCTCAAAGGGCCTGAGCAAGCGGCAGGTGTCACGCATGAGCTGCCAATGGCTGACATCGAAGTTACACAGGGGAGTACCTTTATCCGCTTGTAACATCAGGAAATCGGTGATGGCCTTTCGCTGTGTAAAGGCGGTCTAACATGTGTGTAGGGTTGAATTCCACCCTGTTGCAACGTCGCAGATCAGGCGATGATGTGGAATTCCGTTCTGCCTGCCGCTGCAGCTCAAGGAGGGTGTGCTTTGCGGTGTAGGAATGGCTGAAATGCATGCAAAGTTTACGTGACATTTTAAGGATGTCTTGCAGTGGGATGGTGGATTTTAGGAACCGCTTGACAACCAGATTGAACACGTGAGCCATGCATGGCGCATGGCACAACCTTCCTTGACGCAGAGCAGACACCATGTTCTTTCCGTTGTCGTCAACATGGTTCCGATTTTCAGTTTGCGCGGAGACAGCCATCTGTCGATTTCTCTGTTCATTACACTCAGAAGTTCCTCCCCTGTGTGACTACGTTCGCCTGGACCTGGCAGCAGCATGAGGAGGCGGTATAGGGGCCCATGGCAGATTAGGGGCCTGGCAGCAGCTATAGGAGGCCCGTAATCTGCCAGCACCCTATGTCAAAAAATTCAACACACCAGCAGTGTGAGGAGACCTGAAAGTGGCACATGGCATGAGAGACTGTGGACCTGGCAGCAGCATGAGGAGGCGTATAGGGGCCCATGGCAGATTAGGGGCCTGGCAGCAGCTATGGGAGGCCCGTAATCTGCCAGCACCCTATGTCAAAAAATTCAACACACCAGCAGTGTGTGTGAGGAGACCTGAAAGTGGCACATGGCAGAGTGTGGCGATGGAGACAGCAGCAATGGGAGGCCGTACAGGGACCCATGACAGACTCTGGACCTGGCAGCAGCATGAGGAGGCGGTATATAGGGGCCCATGGCAGATTAGGGGCCTGGCAGCAGCTATGGGAGGCCCCCGTAATCTGCCAGCACCCTATGTCAAAAAATTCAACACACCAGCAGTGTGAGAGACCTGAAAGTGGCACATGGCAAGTGTGGCAGACAGCAGCAATGGGAGGCCGTGGGACCCATGAGAGACTGTGGACCTGGCAGCAGCATGAGGAGGCGTATAGGGGCCATGGCAGATTAGGGGCCTGGCAGCAGCTATGGGAGGCCCGTAATCTGCCAGCACCCTATGTCAAAAAATTCAACACACACCAGCAGTGTGTGAGGAGACCTGAAAGTGGCACATGGCAGAGTGTGGCGATGGAGACAGCAGCAATGGGAGGCCGTACAGGGACCCATGAGAGACTTGGACTTGGCAGCAGCATGAGGAGGCGGTATATAGGGGCCCATGGCAGATTAGGGGCCTGGCAGCAGCTATGGGAGGCCCGTAATCTGCCAGCACCCTATGTCAAAAAAATTCAACACACCAGCAGTGTGTGAGGAGACCTGAAAGTGGCACATGGCAGAGTGTGGCGATGATGGAGACAACCCACCGACTGTTTTTTCTCGCTGCCAAGCTGCAACCCTCTTCTCCTGATGATGCGGAAGCAATAGCCTGATGACGACGAGGCTGCCAAGTGCGATCAGCCTCATCATCATCAATTAGGGGCTCCGCCTCACTACTAGCCCCCTCGGCTGCGTGTGGGTCAGGAGACAGACCTGTCTCTACACCGGCTACCGAGCCACTCTCCTCGCCACTACTTCTTCGCCTGGCTGCTGAAGAGGCGGATGTCTCTCCCCCGTTCCTGACCGCCCTCTGTTAGCTCTTTCCTCACTGTACTGGGATGACACCCATGGAGCACCGCCTGGAGTCAGCTAGCCTCACTGTACTGGCTGCCTCTGGCTGCGAATAGTGCTGACTCTGCCTCGACCCCCTTCCTCTGCTGCCACGTCTGCTCGCTCCTAAAACATTGCCTCCTCTGCCACTCCTCTGCATGTTGTCTGACATACTCTTTAATTAAACGATTCTGTGTCCCTGAGTAACAATTCTGTGGCCCTAAGTAACGGTTCTGTGGCCCTCAGTAACAGTTCTGTGTCCCTGAGTAACAATTCTGTCTGTGTCTGTGCGAGTAACAATTCTGTGGCCCTAAGTAACAGTTCTGTGGCCCTCAGTAACAATTATGTGTCCCTAAGTAACGGTTCTGTGGCCCTCAGTAACAATTCTGTGTCCCTGTGTAACAATTCTGTGTCTGTGCGAGTAACAATTCTGTGGCCCTAAGTAACAGTTCTGTGGCCCTCAGTAACAGTTCTGTGTCCCTGAGTAACAATTCTGTGTCTGTGCGAGTAACAATTCTGTGGCCCTAAGTAACAGTTCTGTGGCCCTCAGTAACAGTTCTGTGTCCCTGTGGACCCTGAGTAACAATTCTGTGTCTGTGCGAGTAACATTCTGTGGCCCTAAGTAACAGTTCTGTGGCCCTCAGTAACAATTCTGTGTCCCTGAGTAACAATTCTGTGGCCCTGAGTAACGGTTCTGTGGCCCTCAGTAACAATTCTGTGTCCCTGTGTAACAATTCTGTGTCTGTGCGAGTAACAATTCTGTGGCCCTAAGTAACAGTTCTGTGGCCCTCAGTAACAGTTCTGTGTCCCTGAGTAACAATTCTGTGTCTGTGCCTGAGTAACAATTCTGTGGCCCTAAGTAACAGTTCTGTGGCCCTCAGTAACAGTTCTGTGTCCCTGAGTAACAATTCTGTGTCTGTGCGAGTAACAATTCTGTGGCCCTAAGTAACAGTTCTGTGCCCTCAGTAACAATTCTGTGGCCCTAAGTAACAATTCTGTGGCCCTCAGTAACAATTCTGTGTCCCTGTGTAACAATTCTGTGTCTGTGCGAGTAACAATTCTGTGGCCCTAAGTAACAGTTCTGTGGGCCCTCAGTAACAGTTCTGTGTCCCTGTGGTAACAATTCTGTGTCTGTGCGAGTAACAATTCTGTGTCTGTGCGAGTAACAATTCTGTGGCCCTAAGTAACAGTTCTGTGGCCCTCAGTAACAGTTCTGTGCCCTGTGTAAACAATTCTGTGTCTGTGCGAGTAACAATTCTGTGGCCCTAAGTAACAGTTCTGTGGCCCTCAGTAACAATTCTGTGTCCCTGAGTAACACTGATTAACGTTTCTGTGGCCCTAAGTAACAGTTCTGTGGCCCTCAGTAACAATTCTGTGTCTGTGCGAGTAACAATTCTGTGTCTGTGCGAGTAACAATTCTGTGGCCCTAAGTAACAGTTCTGTGGCCTCAGTAACAATTCTGTGTCCCTGAGTAACAATTCTGTGGCCCCAAGTAACAGTTCTGTGGCCCTCAGTAACAATTCTGTGTCCCTGCGAGTAACAATTCTGTGTCTGTGCGAGTAACAATTCTGTGGCCCTAACAACAGTTCTGTGTGCCCTGTGTGCCCTCAGTAACAATTTGTCTGTGTCCCTGATTAACGTTTCTGTGGCCCCAAGTAACAGTTTCTGTGGCCCTCAGTAACAATTCTGTGTCTGTGCGAGTAACAATTCTGTGTCTGTGCGAGTAACAATTCTGTGGCCCTAAGTAACAGTTCTGTGGCCCTCAGTAACAGTTCTGTGTCCCTGAGTAACAATTCTGTGTCTGTGCGAGTAACAATTCTGTGTGGCCCTAGTAACAATTCTGTGGCCCTAAGTAACAAATTCTGTGGCCCTCAGTAACA